TTTTCTGGACGTCGCGGACAATAATAATGGACATCGGACATCGGACGCGATTCGAATCTGTTTATAAATAAATTGCGAACGTTAACGCTAACACGTGTAAGGCTAAAGCGCCGAGGCATAATCAAGCGTAATGATCTCTTTAGCTCAATAGAATGGGTATAGTTTCCAGTACAAAAAGGACCATTATGCCGTCGACACGAGACCTCGTCAAAGAATTGATCTCCAAGGACTCGGTCGTCATATTCTCCAAGACGTACTGTCCTTACTGTAAAATGGCTAAGGAGGTATCTATATGCTCTCTGTTTAATATAAGATTATAGATCAAAACGAAACAACTACGTTACGTGACAAGTGACTATATCGCTGTATTGAATTTGTTGATTGACATATACGAGCTTCAAAAATTAAAGAACCTTCTATATATATTCTTAGCATCTTTAAAAATTAATCAAGTTTTATTCTCCCTGCAATTTTCAATCTGATGTCTCAGCTGTTTAAGTATATCAACATTGTAATTTTTCGTTCTATTAAATGTTATATATATTCTATTAAAAATTGTTCTTTTTATACTAATTTGCAATTTGTTGAAAAAATTATGTTAAGTTTTCTGCACTGCGGTATGTAAATTTAAATATAATAATTTATTATTTACATTATTTATTATTAATTATAAAATAAGGAAATTAGTGATAAATTATTAGTTTATAATTTATTTATTTTAATCAATTTCTTTTGGTGTAGGTGTTTGACTCGTTGCAGAAGTCGTACACAGCGATAGAGTTAGACGATAGAGAGGATGCGCAGGAAATACAAGATGTGCTGGGTGAAATAACTGGCGCCAGGTCAGTGCCCAGGGTATTCCTCAACGGAGAATGTTTAGGAGGCGGTACCGACGTAAAGAAATTGTTACAGAGTGGCGAACTTGTAAAAAAATTTTGAATTTCTATCGTCGAAGCGTCTTATGATAAATTGTGAAAATAATTCGTTCGTAATAAGGAACAAATTATTCTAACAATAAATCAAATATACATCTATGCTGATATAAAAGAGGAAAAAGATATCTTTTGAATAGACTTAATTCCTATCCTGCTTTCATTGATTGCATTCTTTATTAGAAATAAAGATAAATATGAATGCGAAACATCAATTAATTTTATTTATTATTCTTACTTTAATTACTTAATTTGTCATTTAAATTTTATTTATAAAAAATAGCTTATAAAATGAAGTTGCGTTTATTTAATTTAAGTTGCAGGTTTCAATTAAATTTCAACTAAACTAAAGTTAGAATTTGATTGATTTGTTTATTAATGAATATTTCTTACGGCAAAAAATTACAGGAAAATTTCTTAACTTGTTCTTAATCCTCAATTTTATTTTCATAAAATAATGAAAATAATTCCATTTAATTAACAAAAGCTGTATTATTACTCGACGAGTTAATTGGTGATTAAATATTAATTACAGTACGGTCCGAGTTAATTTATCCTTAAAACTAACTGTGATTGATAATTTTAATTTATATGTACAGAATATCTACATAAAAAAGTTGCTTCAAATTTTATTCAAATTACGTAACTTTTTTTTATTTTATTATTTTCACGGATAGAAAGTTACGCGTCTTTCGTCAGCTGCTCTTTCTGCACTCTCGGTTTCCTCGCTCTTCTCGCAAATCGACGTATCAATCTTGTTGCGGCAAGAATTTATTAGTGCGAATAAAAAAAAATGTAAGCTAAAAAAAAGGTGAAGTAATCAAGTTCAAAGTCGATACGGTTGACAACACGGGGCACCACGTGTCCACCTCGATGACGGTAGTGGACACGCACACGTCTGTCTAAAAATATCCGCAGTTCGGTGAGAGTCGCTTGATCGTGTTGATTCAGGGCCGATCGGCCGCGAAGTGACGAAGAAATGGATCTGACGCGGTATCGCAAAATCATAATTTATGTGCTGACATTTCTGGCGTATGCCTGGTCCGGCTACGGCACCGGGTTATTGACAAATTTACGGGACGCCGTATTGGCGGCGGAGACGGTCTTCCAGGACCTTTTCGCCAACGCCATAACCGTGGCGAAGAAGATCAAGGACATACACGAAGTATTCGACGCCGCCGTGGAGGAGCATTGCGTCTTCAAGTGTCCTGACGGTGTGTAATCAGTGTAATTCCAACGTGCGATATCAGCTGTCATCGTTGCGTTATTAGGTTATTCTCTAACGGCGCGACGCTATTGGTTGATTCCCTCGATCGATTCGCGCGGATCTCTCTTTGGCTTTTAATTGCACTTTCTACACCCCTTTCCTTTTGGCCCCGTTTTCTTCTTACGATATTTTTGGAGTATTTGACTATAAATTTTGATTAATGTCCAAATGTCCATTTCTATTAATATATAGATTAACTTTAATCTCGGTTTAACTTATTTTTTATCTCTTTACAGTTCTAAAGCATATTACAAGAAAGTAAAAAATAAATATACTATAAACCAAGATTGAAGTTAATTTATATTGTAAGTTTTTCATTTTCATTTTCTAGTGAAAATCTTTTCTTGTAGTTCAAGCTTAACCTCTTGTAACTTCATAATACAAAAATTGTTTTTTTTTAGCTATAATTAATCACTAAATTGATAGTTTTGTAGTAGTAATTTTGAAAATTACTACCAAACTATGTTTAAAGAAAATACAATTTTTACATTATTATAAGGTTAAATTTAACCATAAATTCATCAAGAAAATAAAAAATCGGGTCTAACTGAATCAGTGACTCAACGAATCTTTCTGTTACACACACACACACGCGC